ATAAGGGACCTTACCCGTTTTATATCGTCAATACCGATAGTCCCTAGTAATGGGACTAGTAACGAAGACGAGGAGGTCTCGAGTTCCGCGAGACTCCTCGTGCTGAAGATCAACGGGCCCTTGCGTGGAGGCACCGTAACTGGCTTGCCATAGGAGGCAGAAACGACCAGACCTACCGAAGTGATCAGGATCTCAGCCACTATCGTCGAGGACAGGGCCGGAATCTCATCGCCGCCAGAGGCCACTGGACACCCCGAGCTACGCCAGCGAGGCTGTGACTATGTTCCGCGTGGCTAGCGAGCTTATGACCAGGATGTCAAAGTGTTGCGTTTAGTCCGCGATTGAAACTTTTATTTTACGCCGTCCTTCCGAGTATTATGTATCGTTTCTCAGTGGAAGGCTCCGGCATCTACCGAATATTGTCGAAGTCCGTCTCGTAGGGGTGTAAGGCGGTTGAGCCACGGATGTCACTCTAGTATTATATCGTGTGTCTTATCGAGGAATAGTCCAACGGCATGAATTTTGTAACGGCGTAGTAATACGAGTATTGTAAATCCTCCCGAGGATCTAATTGGCTATCTAAGGGCACTACTTTTGATTGTCAGTAGGGACGCGAGTCCCAGCCCTACAGTGAACTTTGCGTGTAGAACATTCTTGTCTGAGTTACCATCGTGGTCGGGTGCGAATTTTGTATCGTCAATAGTTTCAATAATACCGGCAAGAATCTTGTAACGAGTCACGAAATCTTTTCCATACAGCTATCTTTCCTATCGTTTCTGTATTCCTCGTTTTTTCCAGGGCCTCGTTTTTCCCTCCGCCTATGGATGATTTCAGTATCGCTAACGTGGAAAAGATTCCGTGTATCGCCTATATTTCTCTAGTGAACTATCATTTCTTGATTTTGTAATATTTTCTTAGCGCAAAAGTCTCGTGACCCTGGAGACCTAACAGAAGAAATCCGCGAGTTTTCGTTTCACGAGGACGCGTGTAGTGTATCGTGTTTGTCTCGCTTCCCGAGACTTCACGTATCGTCGCGTGTATCCCGCTTCACGGGAGTTCACGTATCGTAGACGAAAGTATCGCAAAAGAATTACTTTAAATTTCGTTTGATTTGCCTAAATTGTCGGCAACTACATTTATTAGACTTGTTTCGAAATTATTATTTGTTAATCGTTGACATTCTCAATCGTCCTAAATAAAAGGACACCTGTTATTGTTTTCTATTCCGAGGTTCTCATTCTCCTAATCAATTCCCTTACCAACACCTAGGTGATCCCTGCCCCTCTACAATCTCGCGAATTATCTGTGCTGGTCGGTGGCACTTTCTCCGTCCCTTCTGGAATTATTTTACAGATTTCGTATCGTGACGCAAAGGTGCGTCTGGCGCCCAATCGGTCTTTTTCGGTATCGTATTCCAGGGGGATACAGGTTTATAATTTGTCGACGGAAAATCAGCTTTTTGCTAGGAACGGCTCCGGTAATCAAATTTGGTTATAATTTGAGAAGAAATTTTCGTCACAATATACATATACTTAAAACATTAGATAAACATTGATATGACAATAGAATTAAAGCGTGAGGATAGTGCGTGCTAGATTTGCTGAATTGTTTCCACATCTCCTGCACTACCCTTGTCTTCAAATTCACAGACGATCATCAAGTGTCAAACCCCACAGCTGACTTTGCACAATGTTGCCTTTTCTGACCACTTTTTGCCTCCGGTAACTCGTGATTTACTATCACATGCGACATTGCCACTATCGTGACTATTATGTATGTCCGTATAGACGAAACGGATATTTCAATGTATGTGAGAAAAGTGAACTGTACGCTTTCAAAAGTATATCCATTTCGAACTTACTTTGAAGAATAATAAAAGCAAAATAAAATTAATTTAAAAGTTCATAATTTATCCACGTTATTTAGTAACCCTTAATGTATTTTTCAAAGGATATTTCATTGCAGTATTATCATAGACATCGAATGTTTCTGTTCTTTTCTTGAATAAATTTTTGCACATGACTGTCATGCAACGTCAGAAATCTTAATGTTCATGTGGTTGTTCAAAACTAAATTTCTGATTCTAAAACAATAAAAAGATATAACTTGAATTATTTTATTAGCATCTATGATGAATGATGAAAAGGGATGAATTATGCCTCGATTTAATGCACCTTCCTAGGCAGTTTGACTTCTACGTCTTTTTAATATTTCTCGACAATTGATACTCGTCCAAATCATACCATAATACGTAATATCTGTAAGTAAAATCAGTAACATAATAATACTGTTTATAGTAACTGATTATTATGTCTTGTAAAACAATATTGTCTATTTTTTCTGTATATAAACATTTTTATATATTTTTACCTTCAGCGAACTCAAATCACGGATCGATGTATCCTAATGACATTGAGTCATTTTTTCAACAACCTGGCTAGTAATGGTTAACATCTGGTACATCAATTTAACTCGCTGAGCGCCGTTAGGTGGTTAGGTAATATGGCTTTAAGGTGGCGAGCCAATAACTACAGTCGGTCTATCGACAGAGCTTTGATTCTTGCGATGTGTTCTAGATAATTGTTAATAATTGTCTAATATCTCATTGACGCTCTTAATATAGCTCCATTATAGGGCGGTTGATGTATTATTGTGTATTTGCAATACCCGGTTGGATGTCCGGGAGCGTGGCTGGCAGAGCGGAATTTGTCGACGGGCATAAAGTGCTAACAGGTGTTGCTGACTATAACAAGTCACAGGGTTAAATAATCGAGTAGTCCAGTAGAACCTCTCAATAACGTAACCTTCTATAGTGTAACAACCTTAATAACGTAGATTTCTCAATGATAATCCTCATGTTACGTATAGTATCGATTATCATTTCCAAAACAGAATAACATAGTCAACAGTCAATAGAATTGCAGACTCCGTACGTTACCCAGTGCACTGCCCGTGTCACCTACCCAGCTGCTTAGTTGACTGCATTCCTAAGGTCCCAACCCATACCTAAGAGCATCAGCGGAAAACGGCTATATGTATAAGCAGTCAAAGTCATGATACTGATGCTCATAAAATCGTTTAGCCTTACGCGCAAAAGATCGGACTGTACATTTTCATTCGTGGCTCAAACCGTTAGAGTATTAGATCCGGTGTAATATTCGTAATCTGCCCTAGGTACGGATTCGTTATTACATACCTTAGGGAAGAAGCTGGATCGGTTACCGGGCAAAATTGAACCGCATAGACTAGTCTTTTTCAAATCAAGTAACTATACTAGATAATTGTCTGTTCCACCAAATTTCTTATCGCCTTAACCTCATATACAGTCAGGTTTGTAATTCAATATCACGATCTCTATCCCGAATTTCTCATAACTCAAACACTCTAAACAACAAGAATTTATTGAAACTTAATGATTTATTTGTAACAATATATCGCAAATTAAAATTTCCTCGCGTATTAAATATCTATTACCCATCCTTGAACATTTCAGGGAGTATCTCTCCACGTTGAAATAGCAAGGCGTAATTCAACACCTTAAACGAACAGCGGATCCACCATTGAGTGTATTCATACCTATGTTACCATGTTACCTCTGGTCGTTCCTTTTATTTTGGTTACTTCTAAATTTTTTAAATCAAATTTAAAGGCCTCGCTGCCACTACGGCCTACGTAACACTTATACAATGAGTTTCTAAGTAAATTACTTTCTCAGATTTTACATTTTACTAATGGAGATTTCGATATGCTTATCTATAAAGAATTCAACAAGAAGGATTACCGATAGGCGAAATAAGTTATTTAGATAGAAAGGTAAGCAGGTAAAGGCTAAGGGTGAAAAGAGGCTAAAATAAAAAAGGCTAAGAGGTAAGATAGAGACAGACTTTCTATGGCTTGTTGTACAGCGCTATTTTGTGATATGGCCGAAATTTCCATTTCTGCAATTTTGAGACGCAATGTACTAAGTAATTAGAACACCTATAAAGCCTCGTGAAACACAAGTACTAAATTATAAAAAAGAAAGAACACAATTTCGCAATTCGCAATTAAGTCCTTTATGGTAACTCAAAACGGTCACCCACCCAAGCATTATACTCCTTTTTTGGTTTTTAAAGCCATATGATTACATTTTTTATCGTTAAAATGTTTCTTATAATTTTTATTCTTATCATTAAATTACATTGTAAGGTTACTATCAACATGAAATTTTTTAAAATAAATTTTAGATTAACATTTAATAGGAAATTCTCTTCTTAATAATATAATTTTTCAAAAATTAAGAAACATGAAATAATCAATCATTAAAGGATTTTTCAAGTATTCCTAAATTTAGCAGCCGTTAAAAAATTTTTTTAATATTAACAATAATTGTTATCATTCACACCTTAAAAATGTATAACTCCGTGTCATATACTCTTTTAATTTAAAAATAACTCGGCTAATATTAATAAATAACTACGTAAGTAGAAAACAAAATTATTAGATAAACAAGTTTTTTCATTTATTTTTAACGTTTTGATAGAAAATACGACATTTAAATTGGTTATAGCAGGACCTAGAGATTTAAAGCAAGATGTTAATATTGGAAAGAAAAAACAAAAGAGGATTCGTTTAAAACCTTGAAATCTGATTTAGGCTATTTGAAATTTCGAATCGGGTAAGGATTTATACTTTTAGTATTAATTATTTTTTACGATATTTACTACTCATAATCAGCAATTTTGAATGCTTCAAACAATTTTGGTTTTTCTTGAGATGCATAAGTACCTCAAGAAACATAAAAATATAGCACATAAATTATTATAAATGGTATCGCACTTTTACATCTATAGGAGTTAAGACATACTGACTAAAATTTGGTATGTCGTGGCCTTTAGAACGCGTGATACCACAAATTGGCAGATTCCCACTAAAGGCACTACAGCTACGCAGAAAGCTGATCAGCTGCTTTCTAATTCCCTTAATACAGCAATAAGAATGAAGCTGTTTCTTTGTTTCAGGATTATAACGACGACATTAGACAGGAACAGATGTGGGAGATGCAGATTTTGAGCACGCAAGGACGAGAGGGTGCGCAATCAGTAGATGCGCCTTCTAGTCCTGAGACGAATTCGGATGCTGCTAGTTCACCAACAGCGCCTATCACAGCTACTTGCGTGGATGCTCAACAAGATTCCACTTCTAGACCAACATCCTCGCCTACCAACCCAGCGACGCATAAGACTCAAGGCACCATCCTCCAGATTGTTACATCGACGCTAGGTGAGTACCTACTTCATTCCATTTTTTTATATTGACGCATTTCTTTCAACTGCCTGTCTTCCTTCTTACTTCCGGCTTGCATGAGGCTTGACTGAAGTATTCTTCATCGTGCTCAGCCTAATCCATTGATTAATTCCTAATCTCATCTAACATTTCCTCGCTTTTTATTCATTCTATTGATCCTGAAAATTATAATGTGACGAATATGGATATCTAAAGCCAATGAATAAGAAATTCATGACTTACGTTGACGCAAAAATGCACGAAAACAAAATAGACGATAACAAATATATCGAGAAGATCCCATTATCAGTTTATTAGAGTACGGGTCGATGTGTTGACAGGAAGTCGCAAACGGCCGTTATTGCCAGGGGGCAGACCAGTAATGTCACCTACAAAACGAACTGTGATGTCTCTCCTGGCTCGGGCCCGTGCAGCACAAAACAAAGAGTCTCTCCAATCATCACCTTCAATCGTGGGTCCTATCCATCCTCAACAGTCGGCGCCCCTTATTCAGACTACTCTCCAGCTACCAGCAGGAGCCTTGCAACCAGGGAGTCAAGCAGCCCAAGTCGGGGCTCAGGTGTCTCAGCTGCAGTTAGCTGCTCAGTCCGTTTCACCGCATGCCACAGCTTCTCAACGTCAGTCCATCATACCGCCGCATACCCAGCATCAGGTTTTGTCACCAGCGATACATGGCCTGCTACACGCGCAGTGAGTATTCTTATGTCTGCCTCGACTTTCAGCATTTACATCTCACATCCTGTACTGTCTACCACTTCCTAGAAGATTTCCTGAGCTAATAAAGACGATGAACAAAATTACCAACTCTGGAGAATATATAGATATATACAAGAATACAAGGCATAATGTATACATTTATATGCGAACTGTATCACAAAGTTATAACAGATTCACTGAAGGAAACTTACCAGACTTCATTTTAATGTGAGGGCACATCGCTATGATGAAAACTTTATTGTCATTAAAAAAAATATGGTGACAAACAGATTTTCGATGAAATATAACTGCAGGTGCCGCAATTACTACTTCCACATCCATCTCGGAAATAAAATTGACTTTTGTGTACATATGTATACAGGGCGACCAATGATATATGAATAATGTGCGGTTTGAATTTCACGGCTTTGAAAGCAAACTAGCAATACATTTTATAGATGGCAGGCCAGCAACAAATCGAATAAATGTTTGATATTATCGCCTGGCCTCCGTATTTCCCATTACGTATAAAAACAAGAACCTCAAACAGAAAGTGTTTCTTATCACGATCTTGTATACAGGTCTAGGCACTTAGGCGAAAAACGCGTAACCTTAAGGTGGATCTACCGCAAGAGGCGTTAGTGTCGAAAATGCGATCACGTGGTACCACTACATGTGCGCAGTTATCTTTTTTTTGAATACGTGACCTGCAGCTTTGTTCGTAATGTGTAATATATGTATACCGTCATTGGAATTGAAAGAAGCAAGAATGACCAAAAAGTGCATCGCACCTGCTTGAATCACAATGGTAGGAATTTGCATTTGAAAATCTCACAGGAGTTACAAATAAATTCAGTAAAAAAGTTACGATACAAGCAAAAATTGACTATATACGTTAGTATATCTCCTGTGAAAGATTTTTCGTTGAAAGTTCCTACACTCAAACCGGAGAAAGTCTTGTTACAAAGAGAACTGGACCTTGTGGAACCAATTTCATATAGTGATGCAACATAAATTCAACAAGTGCAAAAGAGAGAAAATATTTATACTATTGAACTTAGCTACGAAAAAAATTCTACTTGTGCAGATATTTCACTTTTTGTCCTTGTCCAGAGGTATTTTCATCAAGTTAAAAGTTTTCAGTATATACGCAATTATAGCATCATTTAATTTTCATGACTTTTATGTGAATTGGTCCATTTAACTTCAGTTTTTTCAATCATCAATTCTTTATTTCTCTAAGTTTAAAATTAGATTGTTAAATTTTATTTAATTGGCATCGCATCGGTTTTTTGTGTAACTTTCCTTTTGAATCAGAGATAAGAGGTTGCAGTGAATTTACGGATGCCCATGCGCTGGCATTTTCGACACTAGCGCTTGCGGACAAAATTGTCCACGTTACGGTTACGATCTACAACGTGGTGAGGATAGGGAAGTGCCCAGACCTGTATACAAGATCGTGGTTTCTTATAAAATCGTACTACTTGCATAATGATTACATTAGTACATTAATTAAAGCATTCCACACACAATATAAAGCCCATAGTGGGACTTCAGAGTCGACTCTAGACTCTAAACGGTTAGTATACTTAACTTTTTCTTCCGGTACTTGACTTACTAATTCTTTCTCGTGTATCAAAGCGGATCACTCTGTTTTTTGACAGCTTTCTTGAAATATATCTTGAATACGAAACGCAGCAAGATAGAAGGAAAAAATTCAAGTAGACCAGTCTCAGTGATGTCGAAAAAAATATTGAGTACGTTAAAAAATTGGTTCGCCGAAAATCCACATGGCTCTATTAGGAAATGTGCTTTACAATATTAGGATTAAAGAGTTAACGAGATTCATTGTTCGTCACTTTGCAGATCGGTACCCCTACAAAATGTCATTATTCAAGCTGTAACAATGCAAGCTACATAAGAAAAGAGTGGTTTTTGCAAACAGTATAATGCAAAAGTTTGAAGAAGGATCTCTCTTGACAAAATAATTTTCAGAGACGGCTTACTTGTAACTTAACAGTCGTATGAAAAACGCTACATCCTCAGATAATTTCAGTGTAGGTAAGCATATCTATCACAGGGATAAACTTTGCATTCATAGAATAGTTGATAACGAGTAAAATTTATCAGAAGTTGATGCAGTCAAAACTGTATCCTTAGGTTTGCCGTCCTCGTTTAGCATGATTCTTCTTTATGCAAAGCGGTGGACCACCCCACCGGATTCCAAATTTTCATTCCATTCCAATCTCTTTTCGTAATATTTGGTAATCAGGTAACATACTTAGAATACTCTAAATTCTGTGAAGGTGGAATCGATAAGCCACCCTAACTCTCCCAAATTGAGCCCTCTGGACTTCTTCGTGTGGCACTATTCAAAAGAAAAAGTTTATAAACATGCTCTAAAAAATATTTATGAATTAGAGGAAGCAGTAGTATTCGAGATACAAAAGATTAAAGTCGATACTCTGAAAGCCACTTTTGACAGTTAAAAGACCCCTCGAATACGTTAAAGAAATGGATGGTGATCGTGGTGATCGAATGCCTACTCAAAGAAATTAAATTTCCTTTTTTTTCATATATTTTGAATCACCTTATACCATATTTTAAGATCAAAAATTAAATTATAACTCGATCGAATTAGCAGTTTTTGCTAAATACAGCAGGAATTTGGTGAAATACAACAAATATAAATTTCTTCATGAGGAGGTTATATGTTGCTTCAAAAATGTTTATAGGAATAAATAAAGCTTCTTTGTTAGTATCAATTCTAATTTGGTGACAGCTCGAAGGCTTTATAAAATCCCATCGACATATATAAAAGGTACAAATTTGATACGTACACTTTTCCCTAGAAATCCCTGCCAATGGTTCTATGCTTCTTTGCGTAAGCTTAGGGCTTTCTCTTTCTATCCCGGCTTACTTCCCGAACAGTTGATCTTCCTCAATATTGTTTTAGTACCTCGAGATAAGATACATCCAAACTCCGTAGGGATAAGATTCTCCAGTAAGTCATGATCGAAAATACCTTCATATTTCTTTGTTTATAAGCAGCTACCAAATCATTAATAATAATTCACTACCGTCGGGATTAATAAAAAAAAGGATAATACGCATAAAACACTTTCATATTTAGGTTTATAACTAGAGTTTTACTTAACTAACAGTGTTCGTCGTGCACGACATGAGATTAAGGTGGTCTAATGGTTCATAAAAGATTCTCTCCTAATTATAACATCCACTAATAGCGTTAGCAAGAAATGCAAAAAACATTTTTATTCTATATGAACGGATACACATTATTTGTTTAAAACATTTTCACTAATACGAACGCTAGTATGACCATTTACCCAATTGAATTGTTAATAACAAAATTATACCAAAAATTGGACATGGTAACCAACATATTTTTAATAATTCATATGTGGCTACAGACTAGGATTGATTGAAATATTTAGACTCTCTACGTTACTTCTCACAACAAATGAATTAAAGATTCCATGAAGCTCTTTTTAGAGGGTATTCGGGGGGTATAGGGACATTCGAGGGTATTTGAAACTCTTCCTAGAATGCATTCGTTGCTATGCACAGTATCAAAAATTTATGTTCACTCTTGGATACATCTTCAAACTTTTACATTCTCAAAAACTCTTTAAAACCTTACCGAAGCAGAAAAAGATTTACACTATCTTCGACGAACTTCACAACGACAATGCTTGGGAAATGTATGTATAACCAAAAGATTTAATAACATCTGCCTTATAGTCCGAGACATAAAAATAGCATACCCGATTATTTTTGCAATGTTTATCATTATGAAATAGCGTACAGAAATATAATGCTTTATACCGTAAGTGTCGTTAGTTATACCTCATAGATTGGTTTCAAGAATTTGTCAATCTAAACATGCTGTTAAGGTCATATACGTTACAATAAAAATATTATTAGCATAAATATTATATGCTATCAAAATGATAGTACAAATTGAATATTTCATTTTCTCAGTTGTACAAAAGTGAACTAAAGTATCAGCAGCTGAGCTCGGCGAATTACTACAATGAACTCTGACAGATGAATTGTTCATGGAGAAAACGAGGGTCAAAGATTGTAGTTAGGAGTTACAGAAATCTGTATACACAGTGATAGACCCTATAATATTTTAGGAACAGTTTAGATATCTGCCTCTGCTTCTGATCGTCAAACTATCATTACGATACCACATTGTAATTAGTATCTTCATTTCAATACTTATTTACGTAATAATATAATAGAATATGTTGAAGCAAGATTGTAGTTATTAGTTATCTCCCCGGTCCCGTTTTCGTAGCGTGGAAAGAAATGGAGCAACAACAAAATAGAAACGAATTTGATATTATTGGGAGATAATTATTAAATTTCAAGGGCAGCTAAAGTGATTCGCAGAAAAATTAACAGGTATTTACGCAAAACGAGTTACCGAAAAAAAGTAATGGACGGATAGCAATACACTTTACTTTTTTTAGTATAGAAAATAAGATAGTATAGAATATGGGATAATAAATAATATTGTCAATCATAAAAATTCGCAAAAAGTTTAAATTTTTCAGTCCAATCTGCGATGTTTTTCATCAAATCTATTTTAACACCGCTTCATTTTGCAGCTGTAGTAGATGTGTGGCGTAACTGTACGCTGTAACAATTTCTGTGTTCAATACACTTTGTTTTACCACTTTCATATCCAACGGCTAACTGATTAGACCGACATCGCCTTATACGATTTTATAAATGAAATTCCCGTTTACAACACCAAGTCCAAATTTATTTGTAATCAAAATTCAAATTTTGTTCCTACTTATTATCTCGATATTCTGCGTTCAGTAGAACCTTGAAGGGACTAGTGAGGATGTATTTCAATGCAATTTAAATTCTCATTTGTGCCTCAAATGTGGTACATATGTTCATATCTTCCACTTTGAGGTTCAAAAGACAACTCCACAGGAACATTTTAAAAATTTCTA